AAAGAGTGTATAATTTTATGTGATTTGATTGTAAAACAAATGAATTATTTTTTCTTTTATCAAAAACATACACTGCACAAATTTCAAAGAAAATAAAATAAAAAAAATCCTCTAGTTAAACTTTGTTAGAGTGATTATTTAACAAAATGAAATTAACATATGATCTTTTTATTTTTATAAAAAACAATCACCCATTTATTTTTATTTTTTTTAAAAGTAGTCATTTATAGTCGTTTTGTAATCATTTTGTACATTAAAATTTTTGAAAAATTATTATACTAATAAACCTTTCCTTCGGCCCCCCCCCCCCCCCCCCCCCACAAAAAAAAAGAATTCCTGACCTTTCAAAAAAAAAGGGAAGTCCTGTTATCTCCATTTTACTGCTTCTCTCTTTTTTGGATGCAAAGAATAACATCCACTTTCTATAAACTATTGTTCTTCAATCTCTCTCTCTCTCTCTCTCTCTCTATATATATATATATATATATATATGCGATTTGATCGTAAAATGAATGGATAAATACCGGAAAAGGTCCCCTTTAATTAAAAGAAAAAAAAGAAAAAGAGTTAAACAGAGGTTTCGATAAAACAAATGAAATATATTGGGTGTTTAGTATAAAAATTTATGTCGTGATTTAAATTATAGTTCATAATTTATTATAGTATTTTTTTTCATAAAAAATACACATAAATTAAGAATAATTCTAAATTAATAGTTCTTTTGTTTCTAATAAAACCGCCTGAACACTATGAGTTAAAAAGAAATAAAATTCCTTTATTTCCATTTATCTCTTTTATGTGATTTGATTGTAAAATGAATGGATACAGTTTTTTTACCTTTTTAAAAAATAAACAATATAGTTTTGTTTTATAATTAAAAATAATAAAAAATAGTTGTTCAATAGATAAGCACAGACTAGAGTTCCCTTTTTACATTTCAATGTAATAACCGGCAAGAAACCAAATCCTCCCCTAACAGGTGGTGCGGTTTGCAAGGAAATCTCTCTTTCAAATACTGCAAAAGCACGCAACCAAATGAATTACGCACCCATTTTTACCAAAAAAACATAAATATAAAGGAAGAAATAGATAAATAGGTTAAGATTTGATATGAATTAAAATTAATAGGTCAATAGTTTATATAAGTTAATAAATAGGTTAAATTACTATTTTTATTCATAATTTGTCTGGTTATGAACCATAACTTGACAAGTTATTGTCCATTTTTATCCATAACTTGTTTAGTTATGAACCATAACTTGACAAGTTTGTCCATAACTTATCTGGTTATGAACCATAACTTTATAAGTTATGACCTATTAATTTCTATAATTAAAAATTAACCTATATACTTTCTTAAGCTTTTTATATTGACATATTTTGTACTATTTCTGAAATATAAATTGCATTATGTATTCAAGCCTTACAACACGTCTCTTACTATCAGTTTTCAATTAATTACACTTAAACTTGGCAACTTAATAGCGTTTTGAAAATAGATTACCGAAAAGTTATTATTTTCAATTATTAAATTTGTATTTGTATCAGAGTCTATTTTTTTTTGTCTATTTTTTTAATCTGATGTGATTTTAATCAGGTTTAAGAGTAGAAAATTAACATAAACAACACATTTCAAAACGATGATGTCCGCATATATTATATAACCGCCATATTGAACTTTGTCACTTATAATATATGTACACGTTAAGGCTAACATATTGTCATTTAAGATAATATTCTCATTAACATATCTAATTAGTAGTAGAATTTTCATTCGACACACTATCACGCGACAATGTCAAACTTTTTAGTCTTTTAAGTGTTTTACGAAATATATACGCATATAATAATAGCACATGGACACAAATAATGTTATTGTCCTCATCAATCAATAGTATTAAACGTGTATGCAAATATATATTTAATATAGCATTCACAAGTGCTATTTTTAATTTTAATGCTGCTTTTGCTCTGTTCTTTCAACTATATATTTGGGATTTGGGAGCAAAGAGTACCAAGCTCTGCATAAAATATGTATGGATTATATACATGTCTGAATACATAATAAATGAGAAATGTTATGATCACTTTTTCTGTCACTTTTTACGTTTATTGTTTGATACGCGAATTCAACTAACATAATATAGTAACAGAGAAAATAAGGTAGTAGAATCCACATGTTAAACAATAAACACAAAAAAAATACAAAAAAATGATAAAAAAAAGTGACGCTAGCGTTTCTCGTAACAAATTTTCTAGGAGCCACACAAATTATGCCGACCATGGAAGGGGCTGAAGCAGTATGATTGAAAATAAGTGCACACTACATCTGTACAACTTCCTTTTTATTTTTTTTTTCTCGTTTTTTTGGTGGGGATGTTAGATGTAATTATAACCATAATTGGTACATGACAAAATAGAAGGCAAACAACTATGTATGAATAAATGAATCGGATACAAAGTCATGAGTTGGATAAAGCAAGATAGACAGAGACGGGAGCTTAATTTTCCTCGGTGCTTGTTGGACTTTGGTCCATGTGTGTTCCAATTGAACACTGCCCATTTGCCTTAATTTATTTAATTAGAATAATATTTAATTAATTAAGTAGGAAATCATAACCATCAAAATGTTTAATTAGGTGGGATCCCAAAATTGATAATTACATAAGAGTGTCTATTTTAAGAGGTGAATTTGAAAATGTCTAGTTATACACAATGTTGCAAAATTATGTACATTTTAAAAATATAAGACTTGTGATACTGAGTTTACCCTATTTTATATTTTAGACATATTTTTAGTTGACTTGCACTCTTTTTCTGAGTGTATTTTTTAGTTGACTTGCCTTTTTTCAGTGTTTGTGGGCCGTTCGGTTCGTTAATTCGAGTTGAGATGTGATGTTGTGTGAGAACTTTTTATATATGACTGTTTCTGAGAGTTTTTTACTGTAGTAAAACTCGAATTCTAAACTCGAATCAGTAAAAAGAACGGGACCATGGTAAACTTGCTTTTTTCTGACAATTATGCTGCAATAACTGATTTAGTATTAATTAGTAGTATTTTTTTAGGATTTTTTTTTCCAAAAACTTTGTAAATGCGACACCTTATCGCCGGTAATAAGCATAATGTAATCTATAACACTACATCGCTGCTTCCTTTTCGTTTTTTATTTTTTTTTAATCCTACATCTATTGGTATGTGTTTATTTGATTTCTTTTTATTTTTGTTCCAATACGTAATGCTATTTTAAATATTAAATTTATTTTTTTTATAATTATTAAACTTTGAAAGTCATAAAAATAAACTTTTATTTATAAAATAATTAAAAAATCTAAAAATTACATGAAAAAGTAAATATTTTAATCAATAGTAATTAAATATTAAATTTTTCATCATTATATTCAGTGAGAAATTTGTTACAAAATATAACATATGAAAAATTTAATATAACAAATTATATTGCATTGAATATTTTTTTGCATTTAAATATAAAATTTATAATTGACACGTTATTATAACATTACATTAAAAATGTTTTAAGACGCGATTCTGATACTTAAGACCCGTCTACCACCTTCTACACATATCAGATGGTGCTTCTCGGCCACTCATGAACCTTGCCCGATTTTGATCATAATTCGTTGAATTGTCATCAAAATTTGATAATTTTCAAAGGGTTACAAAGTTAGGAGACTTGCCCACCTTAATATGATATTTAACTAACATTTGCAAAACTACAGAAAAAATAATTCATGTTGAGATCATAAATAACATATAATAGACATTACGAAGACATAAGAAATAATCAAAACTATTTGAGCATAATCCAAATCCAACAAAAGTAAAACTTGAGTCAAACTATGAGTCTTTGAAAAATCTTCTTGTGAAATGCTTTGAATCAAAACAATAAAATAAATATTATGCAATGCTCAATCATGCATTTTAAGATTAAGCAAAAGAAGTTAGTCTATATAAGTTCAAGTATTGTGCATTTCATCTTTAATCTTCAACAAAATTAGGCTGCGGTCGTCTTGAATCTTCAAGCTTTCAGCTCAAAAGCTTACATTGGTTGAAAGTCTTTGAGTTCTTTGGCACCTAAGTCAAAAATTTTCTCATTATCACCAATTAATTAAGTATATATTTCTTATCATCAATGTACAAAATCCTTAATCCGAGGAAACATGGGAGCAAACACTTGCAATTTATGAAAGATCGAATTTATATTAAATACATTTCAAAAAAAAGTTTAAATATAATGGACATTCTCCGGTATATCAACATATTAGTAGGTTAAATTTGTTGTCCGTTATACATGTATAAAATTACGTAAAAGTAAAAAAATACGTAGATTTAACAGTTAAAAAAATACAACATACCAATTCGCCGGACGTACCAAAAAATCTCCTTAAATATAATTTGATTTTAAGTTTCTATGCAAATACACATAGAAAATGACATAATTACCGATTGTCAGTTCTTTTTTACCAACAGCTATCTAAAAATTTGTCACGTTAGATAATGTTAAAATATTGCATCTAGTTTAATGAAAAAATGATAGCTCAATTATGATGTGAGTTTAAATAAAAATAATAATAATAGACGCAGCATTACTCGTATAAAAAATATCATACTAATAATGCTTATATCATATCTAAATTATATTGAAAACTACTCCGATAAATACTGTCGAATAAATAAATGCAACACAGGCATATTTACGAGCCAAAATAATAATAAAAAGAACTTATTAAGCACCAAAAACTTAGTCCATAAAGTTATTATGGTTTGAAAAATGTTAATATTATTTTTTTTTACTTTTGTATTTATTATTTAATACATACATTTTATTATCTTATTATTTACTATTTAAAAGATAATATACTATATTAATAAAATACACGTGTCAAATAATAAATATATAAAGTGGACGTTTGATTCATTAATTCAAAATCATGATTCAAAATTATTTTTAATTTTTATATATTTTTATATAAAAAAAATACTATAATAAATTATAAACTATAATTTAAATACGAATTCATTATGGAAACGCACCAAAAGTGACCGTAAAAAATATTTTACTACAAGTAAAAACCGGTTTGAAATTTGACTTCCAAAAAAAAAAAAAAAAAGAGGCATGCACCAGATACTCATCCTCTGGGTGGGACCCAGCACAGACCATCCTAAGTGCTTACGGAGGAAGGAAACTTTCCTATTATTGTTCATTATTAAAATTTCAACACGTGCCAAACACGTGACGCACAAAAAGAAATTCACAGCCGCAGCCGCCCGGAGAAGTGCAATTATTCAGTAGGTGACGGACGTCCAACGGGTTTCTAAAACGCGCGAAAACATCACCAAACAAATAGGTCCACGTGTCCTTATTATGTCACCTAGGTAACGCTAGAACACCCCCTCACTATCTCACTGCAGCGCACGTTAGCAACTGGGGGAGTCTCCATTCGCATTCTCCAAACTCGAAACTGATCCGAAACTCGAAGTCGAACCCCCACGTCGCGGGCTGTAGCCGGTCACACCCTCTTTGTTTGACCGTTTGACCGATAACATTATCTCATCTTTAACCGGCAATAGCCAGTCGCCTCCAACCGGGAGAAGTTCTAATTCTTCTATTAACTCCGCTTTATTCATCTTCTTTCTCCATATAAAACTCAGCGGAGGTCTGAAGTTTGTTCTTCATCATTCGTATTTCCTTTCATCAACACTTTTTCCAGATTTTTCTCTTCTCTGGTCTCGTTATTTACCGTTATTATATGATAGCTCTCGGTGACCGGAAACCTGAGAGCCGAAGCTCGTCCCCTGCTCTCGGTTTCCCTCGCCTCAGATTCTTCCGTTACCGGCGCTTGAGGTAAGCGGTGAACCACCAAGAAACAATCAAAACTTCGAATTTGTTATTTGATCAGGCGAGATAATTTGCGAAAGAGAAATGGCAAGCCCAAAGAATCACCGGAGAGGACATGAGGAAAAGAACCGGAGAGGAAGACTGGCGGAGAAATCATCGTCGTTTCACGGCCGGAGTCCGTCAGAGCCGACATCGCAACTTCGGAGGCCCAAAACCGTGTCGGATTTGCTTCCGAGCCGGAGCGTGGTCGTGACGACGTCGTTGGAGCAGCAACGGCCAATGAAGCTGACGAAGCTGCTTCTGAACGTGACGATTCAGGGGAGCCTCGGGGCCGTACAGGTGGTGATGACGCCGGAATCGACCGTCGGCGACCTGGTGGCGGCGGCGCTCTGTCAGTACGTTAAGGAAGGTCGCCGGCCGATCTTTCCGACCGTCGAGCCCTCGCGATTCAACCTCCATTACTCCCAGTTCAGCTTGGAATGTAAGTTTCTATTTTGCCGAGTTAAATTACGGAAACAAATCGGAGTCGTTGATTCTATTAACTTTTGTTTCATCGACTTTATCTTTAATAACGACTTTTAACTTCCAATTATAATAGTAATATTGGTTTGAATACTTCTTAGGAATTATCGTCTGTGTCTAGTTGGTTAATATTTTGATAAAAGTTCATTTGACTTTCCTTCACCAAACACGCAGGCGAAACTTAAAAAATATTTCGATTTAAATTTTACTAAAAAAAAAATAATTACATTTAATTTTTTTATTATAATAAAAAATTATTACATAAAATTATATTTTAATTTAAATTAAACAATAAACTAGAGAGATTCTTAAACATATTACTAAACTTAAGAAAATAAACTCTCTTTTCATTTTTCAGCTTTTGTATAAATAACTATTTATTTTTTATATTTTTAATTTAACACGATTTTGATTAAATTAACGATTAAAAATTGACTTTATCAATTGATCGATTTACCGACAACAGTATATCGGTTAAAACGTGTCAGGCAATGATTGACTGTTGTTGGTTTGGTGGGCCAGGTTTGGATAGAGAGGAACAAGTGGTGGAATTGGGATCCAGAAACTTTTTCTTGTGTGCAACAACAATGGGCGGCGGAAGTGACAGTGGCGGTGGCGGTACGGCGCCGTCTTCTTCATGTGCAACGCAGGCCGACAAAGCAGTAACAAGATCTGGCTTCAATTGGCTCAAATTCATGGATTTCATGTTGTAAAATTTTCACTTGTCAGTATTGACTTCCGTTTGCTAAAAGAAGTCGATAATTATTTCTATTTTACCCGGGTTTGATTATTTGTACAAAGCATAGGTTTGTATGTTGGATTCTTTTTATTGCTAGTAGATAGAGAAAGAAAAAAGGGAATTGCACCAATATTCCTTTTTTTTTTTAATTAGTTTAATTTTGGAAATTGTTCAAGTTTAAGAAATTGCATATGTAAGACATGTGAAGCACTTATTTTGGACCCATATGGGGATATCAATGTCTATCATATGGAAGTTGTACAGTCTATAAATTTGGCCTTTTGTTGGTAATTCGCGTAACTATTGGTGTGAAATGATTGGAAAAATTAGATAAGGGAAGCTTCGTGTGTCAACAACAACCAATAAGATAACCATGATTATTGTGAGAACTTACGGCACTTGCTTTGCATAAACAAAAGAAAATCTAAGATTTATTTGGTACGATGATTTAAATTAGGGTAATTCTAATTATACTTCTGAAATTAGAATTATGATTCATAATTTTACGTTCAAATTAAGATTCTAAAATTATGATTTAAAATTATGAGTTTAAATTACCTTAAATTAAGAAGATTGGTAGTTTTAAAATCATAATTTGAACTAATTTAAAACATCATATAAGATTTTAAATTATCTAAACTAAATACTGATTCTGAATCAATCCTGTTCCCAGGGCAGCGCTCAGTAGCAACCTCTCTTTGCAACCGGGGTATTGCTTTCCTATGCACTCATTGATTTTGCTCGATGGGATATTAAGAATAAGCAGCAGCCTCGGGGAGATGGCCAAAGAGAGAGACTCAACCTGGTGATGCCAATCCTTGATAACAAGAACACACGAGCACATGACTAAGACCTTAAACAGAGAAAATGTTTTCCTTAAAGCCCCGGGATGTAGAGAAGCTTTAAAAGGGTCATAATTTAAAATCATTTTAAATAAACATCAATTCTGAATTTTAAATTTATCTATCAAACGCACTCCTAATAATACTTGACAAACCTATCAATATCTCCTCCTAACGACAACTCTTCTTTATTGACACGTTGATAATAAAGAGAAGACACGGTTCAACTCGTGGATGACAGAAAGTAACTCTGCCGAACATCTCTTGTGCAAAAGTATGAGAGCGTTCAAGGATAGGATAAGCAAAGGGAAGGAAATAAAAAAGATAATTCGTTTTCTTTTTTCTTATTCTTTTGTTATTTTTCGATGTATTTATTATATAATTAAAGAAAAAGGAAAGGTGATCTATGACTTTACTCTCTGGTATGCAGCGTAGGCAAAATGCACGATACCTTTGCGAGATAATCTTGTAGATCCTATCAGATTACTATTCGATGCTATTAAAGACGACTGGCCATTTTGTATTTAAAAATAAAAAATAATCCTTTAGGGGTATTTGGTATGAAAATTCGTGTAATGATTCGAAGCATAGTTCGTGACTCGTTACAGTATTTTTTCTCACAAAAAACACACATAAATCGAAAATAATTTTAAATCATAGTTCTGAAGCTCGTGTAATGATTCGAAGCATAGTTCGTGACTCGTTACAGTATTTTTTCTTACAAAAAACACACGTAAATCGAGAATAATTTTAAATCATAGTTCTGAAGTCATAAACTAAACGTCTCTTCACTCTCATGTGACCGACGCCTACAATCAGAGACGACATACTCTTTTGGATTATAAATTTGCCAGATTGCTCTCTAATAACCGACAGCTAATCATCTTTGTTGAGAATGAAATAGAATTTGTAGATTATAAAACATAAACTACTAGATTGCTCTCCATTAAAGGGGACTGGAGATTGCCTAAATTACATTTTTATAACTAGTGGGGGTACTTTTGATAAAGAGAAAATTGTTGAACTTACTTGTAGAGTGTACGTGTTTGAATTTTTACCTATTATCATTGATTAATACCCATTTGACTGATATAGTTATTTAACTAAAATGATATTAATTAAAATTATAAAAATCCAGACTCATGCACTCTAAAGGGTATTTGTTTCATTTTCCCTTTGACAAAACACGTATTATCGATATTTAAACTAGTTCATTAGAGATTAGTTCAAAAATATCGTATAAATCTGAAGGTACGTTTATTTTCCCTTTGACAAAACACGTATTATCGATATTTAAACTAGTTCATTAAAGATTAGTTCAAAAATATCGTATAAATCTGAAGATACGTTTTTTTGAGACATTCCTCTAAATTGCTCTTTTGAGAAAGGAAAAAAAGGGATAAAATACCTTTTAAAATGCATGAATTTTAAATTTTTACCCCTTACACTTAATTAATATTCTTTAGTTAAAAATTATATTATTTAAAATTAATCAAAAGTAAGATTGCGAGTTCACCAATTTTCAAGAGGGAAAATACAAACAATAAAGCCCAACTAAATTTAACGCACGAGCAGGCAAAAAGCCTGATGGCTCATTAATAAAACCCAAGCCCACATATGTAAAGCCCCACTTCCTTTTTAATTTTGTTTACTTCTTTTGGGGGCATAAAAGGAAAGAAAAACCCTAGAGGGAGATTCACAACTCTCGAAACCTGGCGGCAACTTGATTATAAAAGCCCTTCAAACCCATCCGATTTCCGCCTCTTTCGTGGCGAATCTTTGACTGCCCTCTAAACCCTTCCAAAACCCTAGCGCCTCCTCTTCTTCTTCTCTCTCTCTCTATCTCTCTCGCTCGATCACCTTCAATGGAGTTCTGGGGTAAGCCTCTCTGTCTCTCTTCTTCCCTCTCTTTTCCTCTTCGTTTTACTCTTATCTCTGTCATTTGCTTTTAGTGTTTTTTTTAGTCCACATTGATTCATCCACGGATTTCCTTTTTATTTTCTCTGATCCTGTCGTGTTTTTATTTTTTATTTATTTTTTCATTGTTTGCTTCCTTTTCGGTTTCGATTATAACGAATAGTTGTGCTCGTCTGTGAAACGGTATCTTCTGTGTTGCTAGTTTTTGCTAATTTTGGTATGAGATAATTGTGCTCTTAGTTGCGGGTTTGTTCATTTTCCGAAATTTATTATTGTTTCTGTAGCCCGCGAAAAATGTTTAAATCTTCGATATTTATTTATTTATTTTTTGTTGTTGTAAGTTTCATGTCTCAGAGATTTGTAAATGATTATATGGTTTCTATTCGGTTTGTATGATTTTCGTGAGAATTTTTTTTAAACAAAGGAAAACGTATGAATGTTTGTTTTTATGGCTTATTGATTCCTTGTTATGAATTGACATATCTGTGCCTCGTCTGCAGTGCTTTAAAGTTTCAAAATCGTTCCTTTCCTGCAATTTGTTATGTCTAATTCTGTTTGGCATTTATCCCTGTGATTAATGTTCCAATTTGATTAATATTTTGTCACTCAGGTGTTGAAGTCAAGGCCGGAGAGCCTCTTACCGTTGTACCCGATGATGCTTTCATTATACACCTTTCCCAGGTAATTTTTCTTATGTTATTATTCGTTTTCAATCTGGCTTTATTGTTTCTTTTTCAATCTGGGCCGGTTTGATATGTGAATATTTTTCTTTTTTCCAGGCTTGCTTGGGTGAGAGTGAGACAAAGAGCAAGGAACCTATTCTTCTCTCTGTGAAAGTTGCTGACAAGAAGTTTGTGTTGGGAACCCTTTCCTTGGAAAAGATCCCTCAATTGACATTTGATTTGGTTTTTGAGAAGGAATTTGAGCTCACACACAACTGGAAGCATGGAAGTATTTACTTATGTGGATACCAAACCTTTGTTGGAGATCAATATCCTTTTAAGTTTTCACTTGATAGTAGGCATAGCCTATCGATTTTTTTTTGTTCCCTTTAGACTTGTGTTAGTGTACTGTTTGTTCTTTCATCTTTGAATGATGTAATCGTTTTAACGGTGTAGGTATGCTGGCAGTTCCTTTTTTTTTTCTTTTTCTTTTTTGACCTTTGTAAGCTTTTTTTAGTTGTTTCCTTGACTATCTGCTCCTGCTTTGCACGGAGGATGATGATTTAAGTGGTAAGCACTATGATTTTGATGCCTTGTTTTTACCCAATGTCTTGGTCATGTGTAGACGCTTTCTAATTTAACATCGTTTTAATCATAGGTGATGAGTCAGAAGAGGAAGAGGATATCCCACCACAGGCCATACAAAATGGTCAGTGTCGATCTGACAGATTTTTATTTTGGTTTATAATTTGAATAATGATTGTTTTTAACTGATTGGGTGTTTTCAGGAAAAGGTGGTCCAAAGGTTGGGCTAGCTAAGCCTGCTGCTGCTAAAACTAATGCTGCCAAACCTGAATCTACTGAAAAGCCGAAAGTTAAAGTTGTGGAGCCAAGTAAAGATGAGGATGGTGAGTCTGATGAAGATAGTGATGAGTCTGACGAAGATGATTCTGATGATGAAATGGTTAGTTCGGGAGATGAATCGGATGAGGTATTGTGTTAGTTTAAGCTTTAACACAATCTATATATACCTTCACAAGCCAAAAAATAGGATAAAAATACTGTTAGAAACCTGTGTTTTAGCTGGCTGGCTTGGAAGTGAAAATTTAACACTGTAATCTTGGAGAAAATTCTGCAAGCTAGATTGTCAGAATTTTTCTTTTTTTATGGATTTTATATCATTTATTGTAGGACATGCTTGGTGGTGATAGTGATGATGCCGAAGATAAGGATGAGGAAGATGATGAAGCGACCCCTAAGAAGGTAATAGTCGTGGCATTCTTGCTGTCAAGAGTTGAATCTACTTTTTGAGTTTTTAAAATCTCCGATGAACTTTTTGCTTTTTGCTTCTGGAGTTCTTTTCTTGATTGTATTACTTTTATCTTGAAGCTGGAATTGAGCAAGAAAAGAGCTAATGATTCGGCAGACAAAACTCCTGTGCCTGCTAAAAAGCCTAAAGCGGCAGCTTCTCCTAAGAGTGGTAATCTCTTGGTCAATTTTTCTACCTACAATTTGCAATATGCTTGTTTTTCCAATGGAGATCACCAAATTCTTTGTTTTTATTTTTCATTAGTATAAACTTTATTTGCTGTTCTAGAATTTGATAATAACGGAATTTTTTGCAGAGGGTAAGAAGGTTGTCCATACTGCAACACCACACCCTGCAAAGAAGGCTGGAAAGACTTCTGCCACTGGAGATAAATCAAAGGACCAACAGACACCGAAATCCGGTGGCAAATCCGCTGGCAAGATCTCTTGCAAGTCTTGCTCCAAGTATGATAACCATTGATATTGAAATAATTTTTGAATTATTGAAGTAGTGAACTTCCTAACAAAGATGTTTCTATGCAGGACCTTCGCCTCCGATGGGGCACTCGATTCTCACACAAAGGCCAAGCATGCATGAGATTTGGGTGGGGCCTAAATAGGAACGTGCAGTAAAAAGCATGTTTTGGTTTATTTTTGACATGATTTTACAGAAGATGGTGTGAAGTTTTGGCATAGTATGTGAAGGCTTTGTGGTAGTATGGACGAGTTTTTTTGGTTATTTATTATTGGTATTGGATTAGATTTTGTATGGATCGACCTTTTACATAGGTGTCTATTTTGTTATTTCGGTAATATTTTCCCTTCACATTTCCTCTCGATTGCATCTTCACTATTTATTATTGATTGCAATATATTTTTGTTCAAAATTTGATTTGTATTCTGGCGAACAAGATGGTAAATGCCCACGTGGTACAATTTCATCTATTATTTTGGCTGCAAACGATACTCGGTTCTTTGGTCAATTCTGTTTGGTCTTTAATTTACTATTTTTTTGGAATGTTCAATTAAACCAGAAGCTTGTAGCTTGAATTGATCTGATCTGGTTGTGGTTTGGGGAAAAAGAACCTACAGTGGCGGATCCTAAAATTTTTATTGAAACAAAATATTATTATTTTAATCAAGTTTATTAACTTTTTGAAGTTTACACGTAAAATAATAAATATAAGTTTTTGTACGTGAAAAGTAATGTTAAGTTGTAATTAATTAATTGTCATGTTATTATTAAAAACGTAAAATCTAAATATAAAAAGTAATGTTAAGTTGTAATTAATGACAAAGTAATGTTAAGTTGTAATTAATTAATTGTCATGTTATTATTAAAAACATAAAATCTCAATGAGGAACTAAAATAAGAAAAAAAAAATTAGAGCAAGAAGTCAAGATAAAGTCAAAAAAAGATTAAAATGAAAAAATAAATATTGTTTTAGGGCAAAAGAAACCAAAGCAAAAAAATAAAATTTTAGGGAAAAAATAAAAAAAAAAGAGTCAAAAAAGACAAAAATGTAGAAATAACTAAATTTTAGAGTAAAAGGAACCAAAATAAAAAATAAAATAAAATTTTAGGAAAAAAAAAAAGAGGAAAAAATTCTGGAGAAAAAAAAAAAAAAAAAAAAAAAAAAAGAGGACTAAAATGAAGAAGGAAATAAGTTTTAGGGTAAAAAAAGTTTTAGGACAAGAAGCAAAGAAACATTGTCAATAAAAAACCAAAAGCGAAAAACGAATAAATTTTAAGGCAAAAGGAACCAAAATGAAAATAAAATTTTAGGACAAAAAGAAAAAAATAAAAAGCTAAAAGGACTAAAATAAAAAAAGGAATAAATTTTAGGATAAAAAGTAAAAACAACATAAAGTAAAAGACTAAAAAAAGTGAGAAAGTTGTACAATTTTAACCAAAACTAAGTCATTTTGGTTAAAAGTACACTATTCAAAGTACACTTTCTCACTTCAATTTACACTAAATGAGTAATAAACAAAAAAGGAGAGGGGCAAAAAGGAAAGAAAAAGGTTAACAAAGCTTTTCTGAGAAGTTTTCTAAGGCATTTAGTATATACCACAGAAATGACTAATGAGACGTTTGGTTCATGAATTAGAATCATGAAATTAAAATTATTTTTGATCTACGTGTATTTTTTGTGAGAGAAAACACTGTAACGAACTACGAATCATGACTCGAATCGGGGTACGAATCTCCCAACCAAACAATTCCTAAAACGTCCCAAAAAAAAATGAAGGAATAAGAAACTGAGGGCAAAATGGTAAAAGTAAAAGTGAGGGGACACAGACGAAATTTTTAAAAATTGAGGGACAACAAAAATCAAACACTGTTCAAGTAACAATAAAACCGGTACCTCCTATAGTATATAGTATAATGTAATATAGTGGTTGATTAATAGTCTATTTGGCATTATAAATTTGAAATAGAAATATATTAAAAGAGCAATGTAATAATGCATCAGTCTACTAATAGAAGGTGGGTTACGTAATGTGAGACTTACAGGTGAGATCCACTTTCTATTAATGATGATGTTTAGCATAGGTGGTACCCTTAAGCATTTTTCATATTAAAATTTAGAAGGTAAATTTTAGTTATTTGACTAAAAGATATTAATTAAAAATAAGAAATTAAAATTCAGACCCAACACTTTTAAGAGGTATTTGTTTATTTTTTATACGAATATTACAAATTGAAAATTTTAGGGCTGAAGTAATCTTGACAAATACTTCTTAAAAATGCACAAGTCAAATAATTATATTAACAAACAGATATTTTTAAAGAATAAGAAGTAAGACTCGTGCATTTTTAAGAGTAAATTTTATATTTTTTCAAATTGGTTTGTTGCAAAGGTTGTTATTTTGGGCAGCCGTAGGCCCAACATGACCCGCCACGTCTCTCTTAGCATCTTCAGCATAATGCAAATGCAAATGTAAAAACATAAACGTTACTAGAATATTTGGCATCAAAAAAATATGTTAATAAACTATTTAATTTGACATGTCATAGAGTTCTAGTCCTATTTAACTTTGAAAATATGCAATAAAAAAACCCTAATCCTAATCAAACTTGGAAATAATAAAAGATAACTAATAAAAATAACATCTGATAATTTTTTGAATATAAACTCGATCAAAGATAACTAATAAAAATGTGTCTTTCTTTACTAAGCAGTCATGCTAAAATGACCGAAGTACAAAAATAAAATGCCATCATTTAAGTAATACTATTTTATTTATGCTATTATTGTAAATTTATCTTATGTTATTAATAACTTACAAGTTATCTTTTAATAACTTACAAGTTATTTTTCGTAACTTGCAGGTTATTTTCCGTAATCTGTAAATTATTTTTTCGTAACCTGCATATTATTTTTCATAGTGACATTAAATTTTTGTGTAGTAGTATAAATAATAGAAAAAAAACAATAGTTAAAGTTAAAATTTTCTCAAACACAAAATTGACTTTTTTTTTTTTTTTTGTCTTTTCAAACTCTACTACAAAATTCGACATAATATAAAGGGGTTATATGGATAAAAAAATTTGTTAATAGATAATTTATGTGGAAGAGTTTCACACTTTCCGTAAGTCTGTAATTGATCATGCCTTTTCATGATAGGCTAAGAAACAGTTAAGAAAATTAGATATGTGACTATATGTGAGAGCTTTTAATTGTAACAGTAAAGTTAGATGTGACTTTTTATAAGAGCTTTTAACTGTAACAAAACTAGAATTAAAAACTCGAATTGATAAAATGAATGAAGTTTAGATAAATTTCACAAAGAAATGTATTCTAACAAATCCTACAAAAGTTTTTCTACAAGAAAGGGAAATGATTTTCTAAAACTTGTCAAATTGGTGAAAGATACTGGCCAACATCATGGAAATCCAAGATATATACATATTACATATGGCCTAAATTCTCTGATCTCATCTCAGTGTCTGTTTTTTGTTTTTTGTTTTAATTTGAAGACATGTGGGACCAAAAAATTGAAATATCCCTCATTTTAATTCCATGCTACTAAATATAAAAAAGGATAAATTATTTTTTTATTAAAAAAGTTAATTAAGTTAGATTAGATCTTCCCCACTTGGAAATTGAGATTTCCAAATCTTTAAGACGAAATCGAATAATATTTGAGGGAGACAACTGATCAACTCCCCAGAGCAAGTTACACTTAGAACAATAACATTAAAAAAAATGTGACACTTTTATATAAACGTATGCTTTTTCAAGAAAATCCCACAAAAGCAAACGCCGACACTTTCTTAAACTCTAATTTTCTACTGAAAAAAAAAGTAGATACACACATACCTACATTATGTTAATATAATATGACTATATCTTAATGGCAACTCTCTCATTTTCATTATTTATTTAAAAAATAATATATTATATTAATAGAGTTAACTTATAAAACAGTAAATATAAAGAATCACTTTATTTGTCACTCTTTACATTTATTATTTTACATGTAAATTCTATTAATATAATATATTATTATATTATATGCAATAATGAGGTTTTTTTTTTTTAACTCTTATATTCCTTTCATTTTCATCACAAGTAAGTCTATTCATCATAATAAATTTATTGTATTATAGCATATCACCATTTTGTACTATCTAGTAGCTAGTATTGAGATCTATTATAAAACATGTCGTGAATGAAGGGCGTTTAGTTCGTTGATTTAAGTTTTTAATTCGAGTTGAGATGTGATTTTATGTGAGAACTTTTTACTGTAATAAAAAAAATATGATTATTTTTTAAAATTTTTTACTGTAACAAAATTTAAATTAGTAAAATAAACGGCCGAAATAAAAAGGAATATGGACACTCATTCCTACTTATCTGAGTTAGCCATGCAGAGTGTAGGCCATTTTTTATCATTTTTTTAAAGAATAAGAAGATCTACTCTCTCACTTTTTTTTTTTTTTTTTTTTTAGAGAAGATCTACTTTTCTTATCTCAAAACCTTTATATTGACCGACTATTATTCTTAAAAAAAAAAAAAAAAAAATCTCCATTAGCTGATTTTGAGTTGAAAAAATTCTAAGCCTCTCTACCGGTAATACTAGTTTCTAACTCTTAGATTTAGTCAAAATTACATCACATTAAATAAATATATAAAACACATAATTTTTAATATATATCTGATGGTTGAAAAGTAGATAACTTGGTAGTTAATTTTTTCATGTCCAATTAGAGAAATTCACACACACACACACATATATATATATGCCTCGTTCACTTCGCAGATTCGAGTTTTTAATTCGAGTTGAGATGTGATATTTTCTGAGAGCTTTTCACTGTAGTAAAAAAAGTTAGATGTGATATTTTCTGAGAGTTTTTTACTGTAAAAATCTAAAACTGAAAACTCGAATCGGTGAAATGAACGAGGCCATGGTTTTGCGTGCATCAAATATATTGATTCGTATAGATCTACACGAATGAATGAATGAATGCGTGAAATTAATCCATTACAGCCTGGTGATTGCACATGATCAAAACCCACATTTGGGACTCTTATTTGTTAAGAGTATAGTTGTGGTTGAAGTAGAACATGGCCAGCTGCAGTAAGTAGATTTTCTCAAAAACCTTAATAATGGGTGGAATAATTGTGTTCTGTGCCTTGTTTTGATTCCAAAATTAGATTCTCATGCTACAAATGAGCTTATATTTTATATCATGTGTGTGTGTGTGTGTGTGTTTTTTTTTTTTTTTTTTTTTTTTTTTTGTACGTATACATGTATAATTTTTCCTTTAATTTTTATTATCTTAATTTAAAAGCCCAGATTATTTTTTATTTAAGTGTTGTGCTAGGAGAAGCCAAATCAATGTAGATTTTTTTAAAAAAAGTTGTTTTTTTTTTTTTAAAGAAAGCATGTTATTATTATTATTATTTAAAAAAGGAACAAAAATTAGAGTTACTTTGCATATATATATACGTTCAAGTTCAGATTCGTTTGTATCTATACATATTCTTTTTGTTCATGTAAGGTCAAACCAAGCTTTAGGTGGGGGTAAAAAAAAAAAAAAGTGACTGTAGCCTATACCAATTATTACTCCATTTTTTTTTTTTTTTTGCATTAATGATCTCTTTAGTTTGTCAGGGCAACTTGGGTTGGAAGTTTCCATAATGTGTGGCACCGATTAAGAACAGCTTTACTTGTATATAATATGACATTAGCAGCAAGACAATTATCGATGTCTTTTGAGATTAAATAACACATTTTGGCGTTCCCAAGGTTCTTAAAAAAGCTTGGATTATTCTTTATAGTTTGTAGTATTATCCACAAAAATGATTTGGGTTTAAGAAAAAGTTAGGACTGATAACCACACTTCTAATGCAAGTAACTATGAACTCTTTTACTATAAATTATTATTGTTACTCTTAAAAAGTGAACAAAAGGGTTAGTGCTGCCCAAAAAAAAAAAAAAAAAGGAATGATAAACATGATTTCATGTTATCAAAGACTTCAAATGATTGAGCAAGATAAGGCATGAAAAGTCTTAATGAAAATGTCGGGCAAATTTCCCTCTTTACACTCCGAAAATAAAAGTACCTGTCAAGAAAGGTCAAAGTGGAATGGTGATGAGTAATCCTTTAGTTTTTAACAGGTAAAACACTTGCTGAACGGCACCGTTTTAAAACTCATTTAGTCTCTAATCATAGTCCTGAAATTAAGCTAATTCTTTAAAATCAATTTTTTTTTTTTTGGTGAAAGATAAAAATTAGCATGACCTCGCAATTATTAGGTGTAGTACATGCTCAAAAAAAAAAGAAAAAAGAAATGAAAAAGAAAAAGAAAAATTATACTTGATTACTAATTTTGAAAAACATCTAAAATTTCCTATGTATTGTTATCTTGTAACTTCTTAATCTGTCTTGAAAAAGAATTGCATTCTATAATTGGAATATTGGTTGTAATAGTATTGGTGCTAAGTGACTATATAACATGGTATTTAAAGTACAAAATATGCTTGAGAATGAGGAAAATCAAAAGACACTTTATTAAACTTTTTTCATTACAATCTGACAAAGAAGCTTACAGAGATAACAAAAGGTAACCAATTACAAATGCACTACTTTTCAACTACGATCTCATTCCCGACAATCTAGCAAAACCTACAAATTCCAAACCCCAAGAAAGAAAAGAGACAAAATTTGACAAATGACAAACAATAACCTCAATCAAAGAAAAAAACAACATTTTGCTTTTCTAAACCTACCGCTGTTTCTGCTTCTTAATATTCCTTGACAAATGATCCTGTATGACATTGTTCAGAATATTAACAGCAATATTTATCTTTGTAACTTCAAAGCTTACTTGAATTCGAGCTATCAAAGAGATTTGCTGAGGAGAAGTGAACAGCAAGAACTTTTTCTTTTTGTTTGTTTGTTTTTGTTTTTGTTTTTTTGTTTTTTTTTTTGCCCTTTTACCCCAATTTGATGAATTTAAATGAGGTGATGATGAAAACATATAGTACAACTTGCAAGCAACAATTGCTCATAGAACCCCCCCAAACTTGTACGTTTTGCTGCAGAGGACAAAGATTTGTGACATTGGATGACAAACAATAAGAGGATTCTCTGTCAACTTGTAGGCATAATATATATTTTTATCATTATCCTTGCAACTAAAATCAGCTGGGGATTATGGTGCCAACATAGCCAAATCCACAGATGAGGAAGGTGAAGGTTTGCAGGAAGAGGTACACGAAGTAGTTGTTCTTCCCGTGCACGAAATCGTAGCATCCGCATAAGAAGAGGAACACTCCAAATCCAAGCTCCAAGAGGTGAAGTCTGCGATTGTTTACAACAGCAAAGACAAAAAATGCACATTAGGAAAATAAAAAGTATTTGAGTGTATTATAATCACCATGTATAATTATTTGATACAAGAAGATAAATTAAAAAGTAAGCTTTTTTCTTTTCTTAATTATTGTCTCAAAGAAGAAGACAATAGAAGAAGAGTGTTGTGAAGCTTATAGCTAAGACTGGACCTTTTGTCTCTTTGCAACTAAAACCAACAAGAAATCCAAATTGATTGAAATTTCTAACTTGTTTATTTTTATGTAGGATAAGAGCAAGCTAAAAAACAATAAACTATTTCCTTTACTTGTGGGGTTAGGTCATAAAGTCTTAATAATTTTTATGTATCATCCATGTGGTTGGTTTTGAGCCCCAATGAGTGCCACAAATAATGCAGAAACGACATTTACTCTCTTTGTCTCAGTGTACATGTGCTTGTCAGTGTAAAATTGCTTATAAAATTCCATTGATGAAGACAAAAGTAACATGCCTAGAGCAGAAAGAAAGAATTCCGGGGTGACACTGAACACGCACCTGTCTCCGAACTTGAATCGCGGTTTCTTGAACAATTTGAAGGGTGTTTTCTTGTTGGCAGCATCTGACTCTGCTTTCTTCTTGAGGGTATCTCCCAATTTCTCAGTGACAACCCATTCATTGGCTCTCCCGGCTTCTAGAAGGCCAATGAAAGTCGCCTTGGTCCGGTGCAGGGACATCACATTCTCGAACAGAATCCAGTAAAACAAAAGATGAATTGACCTGCAAAGTTCAAGAACAAGAATGCTATGATCATTTCTTTTTTTTTTTCACATTGTGATGTAAAAGAAGAAAACAATTATAAAAACAAAAAAAAATTGCAGGGTGCAAAAAAATCAGACCTTGGAGTTCCAACTGAATTGAGAATTGTGATAATGGAAGGAATATAAACAGCTCCCCAGATTGGAACATGGACTTCAGGAACCAAAATGGTCAGAGGAAGTACAACACAGTAGAAGATGAAGGTCACCATGTGAGCTATGATCTTCCTCACAAAGAAGAAACTGTAAATGACATACACTTTCTTCCAGAACTTCACTTTCTGCAGAGAAACAGATAGACAATAAACTATCAGAAACTATTGCAAATGTCATATAATATACGATATATCGCGAAGTGGAGAGCTTGTTAACCTTATTTTTTACGATTTCCATGACCATTTTCCTGAACAGATTTGCAGGGCCACAAGACCACCTGTGCTGCTGAAAACGGAAGGCTTTGAAAGTACTAGGGAGTTCACTTTTTGCCTAGATTAGTAGAAAGAAAGTGTAAGAAAATTCATTAACTATCACTATAGTATAAGACATTAGTAATGTTCTATTATAGCTATATTGCGTTGTAATGAAAATTCTTTTAAGTACTAACTCTGCAAGATGTTAGTTACTTTCCAGACACAATGAGGAATACCTGAAGTTCACCAAGGTACACAAATTTCCAGCCTCTGAGACTCGCACGGACGGCGAGATCCATATCCTCGACCGTGGTTCGGTCTTTCCACCCGCCTGCCTCGTTGATTGCAGCAATTCTCCAAATACCAGCAGTTCCTGAAACACACATTCGACACTTCAAATTCAGCTTACAGAACTTCATAAGTGTCAAAAAAAAAAAAAAATTACAATTTTAATTCGAAGCCTAACACAAAGGCCGTGTTTAGAATTAATCCCGTATTTGTTATTCACTTTTTTTGAAAAAAAAATGAAAACGTTTTCAAAACGGCGTTTGGCGCAATAAAGACGAAAAACGGAAATAAAAACAATTTTTTAGTTTAATATCAAATGAGAGAAAAATGAAAAATGACTTTTAGTCATTTTTCATTTTTTATTTTTGTTTTCTCCTCTCTCGAGCAGAGAGAGACAAAGAAAGACATTAATGGGTTTTTTTACACTAAAAATAATCTCTTAATAAAATTACTAAACATATTTTTAAAAATAATTTCTGTCTGAGATTGAAAACGTTTTCATTTTTATTTTTATATAGAAAATAAAATTATTTTAGAACGAATTCTAAACGCGCCCAAAGTTTTCAAGTCCCTTATGTGATCATCATGACACCAATGGATATTTTCAACTGCTTATGGAGAGCTATAAAGTTTACGTAAGAGTGGTGCCCAATTTGCTTATAGAGGAGCTATTTTCACTTGTTAAAACTATAACAACAGTGAAACAAATATGAAAGCTATTCAAAGTTATTTCGTTTTTGTTTTATTTTTTTATTTTTTATTTTTGTATTATTGTCTAAGACTTGTTCACTAGTGTTATTTTTGAACTAGTCTTCATGATATCAATTTGGCTGCTTTGAACCAGTTTTTATGCGTGATGTACCCATTTGAATAAAAAACGAAAATAGAACCCAAAAAAAGGGGAAAAATTCAAGTATAAAGCATAAAAGAAAGAAACTCTGCTTATGCGTTTGTATAGCCGGTCCCAAGCCCAGGTAAAGGAGGAGGATTGCGGTAGGTTAACGGTCAGTGTAAAAATAAGTCACTCTCATGAATTTTATTTACACAGAAACTGCGTAAAAAAGTGAAATCTATATAGCCGACCCTAATTAAATTAGGATTAAAACTTGTTGTTGTTGTTGTAACTTGTAAAGCATAAAAGAAAGAAAGATTACCATTGAAGCCAAAGAAGGCATGTGTGGCTGAGCCAACTTCTTGCTCAACCGTGAAATGGTAATCCAACGACATCTCTTGCATCCTTGTCAACAAGCATTCATCACTATTCACTGCAACCCCCAACAAAACCAACCACTTTGAATTAGTAAAACTTTACTTTTATTCATAATTCATAAAAATAAAATATGTTACACATTTATCCTCTTATTTATTTATTGAAGAGAATCAACTTCATAACCTCAACATTTATTTAGGCCCCGTTCACTTCGCTGATTCGAGTTTAGAATTCGAGTTGAGATGTGACTTTATGTGAGAGCTTTTTACTGTAGCAAAAAAGTTAGATGTGATTGTTTATGAGAGCTTTTTACTGTAGAAAAACTCGAATTCTAAACTCGAATCAGCGAAGTGAACAGGGCCTTAAGCTATGCTTATAATTATACCATCTAATTAATGTCTTTAACACATTGTTATGAGTAACATTATGCACAATTAAGTGGACGTTTAATTCATGTATTTAAAATTATTTTTAATTTACGTATATTTTTTATGAGAAAAAATATTATAACGAGTTGTGAATTATGACATGAATTCTCGTATTAAATACTCGCAATTGAAATACATTTGAAAAAAAAACAAAAATGAAATAATTTAAAGATAAAGGTCGGGGTGGTCCCACACCCACGACAGTCCTCTGATTGAGGAGTTGGCAGCCTCTCATTAGTTGCTGTCCCAATAATAGAAAAAAAAGAAGCTCAAAAAGTTAGTAACCCGTTTTTGTCCTCACGTGACACAAACCACAACGTGCCACGTGACAAGGAGCACGAGCTCCAAGTGTCGGTAACAAGGGAGTGAGGGCCCACCACAAGGGCTGACAGTACATGACTGTAGCCCTTTATTTTTATTTATTTTTTTAACTTTTTTGAGGTAAATAAGACCTTTATTATTATTATTATTTTTTTTTTTTGTTAAAGGTAAAACTCAACTGCACGTGGAGAGTGCGGCAGAAAAAGATGAAGAGACGAATCTGAAATGACGACAATACCCCTTTCCCTTGCACAGCTTTCAATGCGGGGAAAGGGGGGCTGACCTTTTTCCGTACAATCCGGGGTCGTTTATTTGAAATGACGAAAACATCCTCGGAATTCTAGCACCATTCACTGGCGCTGAATCTCTATATAATGGTCCCGTTTATTTTGCTGATTTGAGTTTAAAATTTAAATTTTTTTATAATAAAAAACTCTTATAAATAATCACATCTAACTTTTTTATTACAGTAAAAAACTCTCACATAAAGTCACATCTCAACTTGAATTAAAAATTCGAATCAGCGAACTAAACAGACTTAATAATTACGTCAATATCGCACTTAAGGTTTTAGGACAGTTACGTCATTTCAGCTGTTGGAAAGAAGGAAAATGACATGGACATTAAACTGCGAAAGCACAATTAGTGAGGGGGACATTTAGAGAATGTTTGACTTATGTGTTTAGAATTATGATTTAAAATTATTTTTATTTTATGTGTATTTTTTATGAAAAAAAATACTAGAATTATGATTTAAAATTATTTTTATTTTATGTGTATTTTTTATGAGAAAAAATATTGTAGAGAACTATAAATTATGATTAAAAATCACAAATAAATATAGAAAATAAACATCCCAAGCTATAATAGTTATTGCATTACCACATAATCATATGAGAAAAGAAAAACATCCTATGAATAACACTCCACGAGAATGAGAAATTGACGTACTCAACATCATAAATGTGGAAAAAAACGCAAGGAATTATATGAACATGGAAACACTAAAATTTCCACGAATGAATCACATCGACATTTACTAAAATGGACCACTATTAATAGATGGAATTCATTTTGCCCTAATTAACCTTTGCAATCATGGGTAACGTATGAAATATGAATGAAAAAAATAATAATAAAAAAGACTTCTGATCTGGACATTGGTAATGAATCTTACACGTATAACTGTCTTTAGTTTAGATTTTTCAGTGGCTTTTTAAAAAAAAAAAAAGAAATGGTGAATTATACGGACATGGGTCCCACAGAAATACAGTGATGGATGTGGAGACTAATTGCACTAAATGAGAAATTGAGATACTCATCATCATAAATGTGGAAGAAAAAAACGTAAGGAATTACATGAATATGAAACCGTTTAGAGTGATGTGTTATGATTTTTAATTCGTTACAGTATTTTTTTTATAAAAAAATTATACGTAAATTAAGAATAATTTTAAATTATAATTTATAAATCTATGAACTAAAGGTTCTTTAAAATTTTCATGAATGAATCACATCGCCGTTTACTAAAAAGGACCACTATTAATAGATGGAATTCATTTTGCCTTAATTAACCTTGCTATCATGTGTAACGTATGAAATATGAATGAAAAAAGAAAAAAATAATAATAATAATAATAAAGGCTTCTGATCCGGACGTTAACACCTATAACTGTCTTTAGTTTAGATTTTTCAGTGTTTTTTTTTAATTTAAAAAAAGGTGAATTATATGGACGTGGGTCCCACAGAAATACAGTGATGGATGTGGGGACTGATGAGATGAGCCGAGTGCTAAGTGAAGCCCACCCCGTGATTGATGGGCTTTCTCCTTTGTGGACCCCACATTTTTTCCTCATGCAGGTTACAAACAATCACGCCGACGAAAACAGTTAAAAAAAAAAAAAAAAAACTTTTGACATAGGGATACTAGGGGAATAGAAGTAGTAATGATATATATATATATATATATATATTTAATCTTACGAGATAATTTTTCAAGAAAAATAATGCAAAATTATTAAAAACGAAAAAGCCAAAATAGATAAAATCTCCTCAGCAAGAAATGAAAGACCACCGACAGTCGTCCTAAATATTTTAAAACAGGAAAAAACAGGCAAAATATTAATTTAACCGTGATCAATGGCTCCCAAGAAAGAACACAAAAAGAAGAAAACAACAACAAAAAAAAGAAAAAAAAAGAAAAAAGTGGAGTAGTGAAAATACCAAATCGCCAGCGAGCTTGGACCAAAGCAATGTCGGGGTTGTGGACCAAGAAAGGGATGGATCGGCGGAGAAAGTCTGGCTCCGGCCGAAAATCGGCGTCCAAAATGGCCACGTACTCACAGTGCTTGACGTAGCTTCTCTTAAGCCCTTCCTTAAGAGCACCGGCTTTGTAACCTGTTCTGTTTTCCCTGATTTGGTAAGTTATGTTTATGCCTTTGCTTGCCCATCTCTGACACTCCAATTCCACCATTTGCTGCAAGCAAGCAGGCAAAAATCCCCAATTTTTAGCCATTAGTGGCAAAAATAAAAATGGCACAAACACAAACCCATTTCCCTAAAATCACTCGCATTTGGTATAAACATTCAATGGTTGTAATCAAACAAGCCCATTTCGCAAAATGTGGCCAAATCCTTTTCGGAACTTTTGCTTTTCATAAATGGTGATAAAAATTGGAGCAATTCCATTTCATGAAAATGGCCAAAACGGACAGAACCAGCGTGTACTGTTTCTGTCGGTTTTGGTTGTTTTGTGAGTTTAGTCGAAACCGGACACTGGATCAGAAAATGAGAATTTTCATCTGTACTTCGAAAAAAATGTGTCATTTTGCAGAGAAATGAAAAGCATTTATTGTATATATATTTTTTTAGTGCTTTTGTGGAATTGTACCTTGATTACTGGATCAGTTGAATCGTCGAGAACTTGGATCACGAGACGATCGGACGGCCATGAAAGCCCACATGCGGCACCAATTGAGATCTTGTAAACCTGACCACAAAAAACCCAAAAAGAACCACACTTTTAGGCTTTTCATCTTCTTCTCCAAAACCCAGAAACAAATAGAGAGAGAGAGAGAGAACATAATCATGACAATGCTAAAACAGAGGAGAGAAACCAAAACGACAAACCTCTTTTTCATTGAACATGGGGATTTGGATCAAAACGACAGGGAAATTGGAGCTTCCCATTTCAACATCGTCCTGAATGGGCTCGAACTTGTACCTCTTTTCTGGTTTTTTCCAAAAGAGTTTCACCAGAATGATGACGATTCCCATGTAAAGCCTCTCCATGAAAAGCATGAGAGACATGGCCAAGCAAATGTAGACGCCCAGCCTCAGGAGAGGAACTATCAATGGCGCTTTGATCAGCTCCCACATCAGACCGATTTGCGACGCAATGTCGTATCCCGGGTTTTGAAACGTTTCTGGGATCAGAATTTTCTGTGACGTTTCGGCCATTTTTTTTTTGGGTTTTGGTTCCTCTGCTTCAACCAAAACAGAGGAAGAAAAAGAAAAATGAAAAACCGGGGAATGTGAGAAATAAGAATATGAGGTCGCCCTTCTCTCTCTCTCTGTTTTTCTCAGTGTCTAAGATGGAAAGTACAGAAAAAGCTTCTTTCTTTCTGTACTTTCCGTTCTCCCAAACAGACCCTTCCTTTTCTCTTTCTCACAAACTGTTCTGACGACTAATATTTCTGCTTCTTGCAAGCAAAAATGAAGCAGAGACAGAAGAGCATTGAGCAGTTTATGAGCGAGAGAGAGAGAGAGTTTCAAAGAGAGAGAATGAGGAGTGTCTTTTTATAGTCATTTTGGTCCTGTTTGAGATTTTGTATTTATTTGGTTACGTAAATATTCATTTATTAATTTTTCTTTTCTATTAATGGCCAGGCTTTTATGGATTATAATTTTGCTTTTCTTTTTCGAAAGATAATTCTTTTTCTTTTTTACTTTGATTAAAAAAAAAGAGAAAATTATGGGTGTGTCATCTGTCTTCTATATAATGGTTGAAGTATGCTAATATATCGATAGTTTGAATTTTTTGGCTGATAAATTTACATAAAATTATATAAAAATAAAAATATATATAAAATTAATAGTTAAAAAAATTTAATTCATTGAAACGTAAGACATATCAGAAAATCTTTCATAAAAATTTACTAAAAAAGCAATAAGGGTCATACTTAAGAATCTCGCAATAAGAGTCCTACTTAATTTTATTTAAAATATGAGAAAAAAGATAAATATTTTTTAAAATATGAGTTGAGATTTTTATTATTATTTTTTTAGTCAAATAAATATATTAATTAAAAGAGTATTAATAAAGAATAAAAAATTAAAATAAGTTCAATAATTTTTTATTAAAAATATAAATCTGATTTCATACAAACCGTAGGTTCAAAGAACATTTTTTCCTGTCTCTCAATCAAAATCCTCTAAACTTTTTAAAAAAAAAAAAACTGTATCAACTCCAACTGTAAACTGGCTTCTTTTACAGTTCAGATTCTCATGCCTATAGGCTATATTATATTGGCCACAAAAAGACTAATAAAATGATACAGACATTATTATATTGGTCACAAAAAGAGTAATAAAATGAAGGGGCATAACAGACATTTCAGTTAAGGACAAAAGTCTAATCAGTCTCTTGGCTTTGGTCTTCATATGGAAGCTCCTTAATCAGGATTCTAAATTTCTAATCTAAATATTCCATATATAATTCAAGATTTCCAAGGTTATGAATTATAAATTTCTAATTTAATTTGTACAGAAATATTATTGTTCGCTTTCGTCTTAGCATTTTTACTAAAAAATAAAATACTTCACATGTTACGTCAATTGGTACATGACATTTATATTTAAGTTAATATGTCTAGCATTATTCGTAAATAAATAACTATAAAAACGTAATAAATTGTTAAGCCGACCCCATTGCTATTAATCCATTACTAATCCATTTCTTATTTGTTCTTTTTATGACGTTAAACTAATTTATTATAACTGAAACAATTTTTCTTCGTTTCACATAATAAAGATTAATTGCTCTCTTTACGTGGAATGAACTATAAATATAGCTTAACGGTGATTTCACATCTGATTTCACCATAAGTGAAAAATCTGGATCTTCCCACCTCAAATTTAAAAAAAAAAAAAAAATTATAGGCACCTAAATAAATACGGTTATTGCCTACATTTTATTTTTTGCATATGAATATTGGGAATATCTCATAAAAATTAAAATCAATTCTCCCTCCCATTAGAACTCAAGTAAGTTGCTGCAAATTTTCTTTATAAGTCATTAGAAAAGGTGTTTGATATTGACTGTTTAGAAACCAAACATCGAAAATTTGCATTTAGTCATAGTAGTGTGATTTCAGTTCTATCTTTTTCACCTTTCTTCTTATATCGCATACAAAAATTGACCAAACCTTCAACATGAGGCCAAAAGAAGAGAAACCCTAATGCCATGTGCACGGTACTATGGTAGGGCTTGTTCAAGTAATAGAAAGATATACAGTCTTTATTTTATTTTATTTTATTTATTTAAAAAAAGACATAGTCTTTGAGAATATTTGAGGGGTGAAAAAAAAAGTCTTTTGATAATAAAGCTTAATAAAGGAAATTTTGCAATTTTGTCCTTCCTTTGTGTCCAAGTTTGCTTCACATTTCATGTGCAGAAAGCATATTCTTAAGAACAAGTATATTCGATTTTTCATCTTTAATGTTAAGTTTTCCTCAGACATTAATGAGAAGCGTTTTTTTAAAAAAAAAGTATTATTACTTTAGCCCAAAAAAAATCCTAAGAAATACAAAATAAACAAAATTACTGCAACATCTTTTGTTTTAATTTGCGAAAAAAAAACGTAACAAACATATTGCAAAGTGATCGAAAATTTAAAAATATTGTGCATCATATTTTCTTTTTGAAAAACTTATATATATACACCTCATATTTTGGGTTTTCTTATTAAGAAAGCATACCATTTATTTTGCTCATCATCAAAATATATATGTGGACATTTAATGTGTACAACATTCATACTCTGTAATGATTAATGTTCAATTTTAACTATTTAATGTCAAAAAACTATCAAAGAAAAATCTTATTTAAAAATGACAACAAAAAAAAAAATTGTACAAAAAAATCGACAATCTTATGACTTGAGATTTTTTTTTTCGTTTTGTATTTTTTTTTGTTTTTTGTTTTTTTATATTTTGAATTTTTTGAGCATTATATACATGTTATATTTTTGACACACAACTGAAATGTCCTTATTTCGTTTTGGGGCTTTATACAATAGACTTTCTTATTAGTAGCATCAATTCTTCTTGATCGTTGAATTTGATCAAAACTATATTAAATTAAAAAAAAAATATATAAAACATACATATTATTATATAAATATGATGATTAAAAAATAAAAAATTACTGATAATTTATTTTTTTTAATACTGCAAAAGAAATCCCCTTTCTTTTATCCAGAGGGAAAACTAGCTAACATCTTGCTAAATGCTCAGGTAGTACTGTGTATGTGCGGCTATAAAATTGAAAGTAATTGAGTTTCTAATACAATATAGTTTTTTTTTTTCAGGTGAAATTTAATAGAATATAGTTTGATTATTGACACGTCGTAATAGTTTTCCGCCATACATTTGTCTATTAGACACCTCAAAATTAAAAAGAAACGAAAAAAAGGATAATAGGTCTGTCAATGTTATTTTGGTAAAACACAAGGGGTGCGTTTGGAACTCATTCTAAAATAATTTTATTTTTTGTATGAAAATAGAAATAAAAACGTTTTCAATCTCAGATAAAAATTATTTTTGAAAATGCGTTTGGTAGTTTTTCCAAGAGATTATTTTCAGTATAAAAAAATCCATTAATGTCTCTCTCTCTACTCGAGAGAGGAGAAAACGGAAACAAAAAATGAAAAATGACTAAAAGTTGTTTTTCATTTCTCTCATATTTTACACTAAACTAAAAAATTGTTTTCATTTCCGTTTTTTGTCTTTAATTGTGTCAAACGTCATTTCTCTCATGTTTTCATTTTTTTTTTCTTGAAAAACGTGAAAAATAAAAACGAAAACAACTTCAAACACAACTAAGGTGTTGGTTTGATAAAACTCAAGGGGTGAACATGTATTTTTTTTTTTTGTTTTTCACCGTGTCATAAAAATATATACTTCATTAACTACCGTAATTAACGTGTCGTTGGCTCCATTTGATTGAAGGGATGAAAAGTAAGAAGTATGAAGAGAGTTTGAGGGATGAAGAGTAGGAAGAATAAAGAGGATTATAGTAATCTTTCATGTTGTTTAGTAAGATGGAAGTAGAGTTGAAAGGATAAATGATAATTATTTATTAAATTACTATATTGTCCATTTAAATTATTTGTTAATAATTTATTTAGTGGATAAAACAGTCTTTTTAATATTAAACTTGATAGATTGCTCGAATCTTTCTATTAATGAAAACATATAATTTGGTGGGCCATGAGGGAGAGAGCACATCCCTTCACCTCTGCTCTCCTTCCTCGTCTCCTTATAACCGAACAAGTAATTAGTCTTCTCTCTCCACCTCTCTCCGTCCATCCCTTTTCATTCCTCCATCTCTTCCTCCAACTAAACACACTCTAAAAAGTTATACCTACGACCAATTCGCGCCGGGGACACCATTTCGGCATCAAGAAAGGTTATTCTTGACGTCCGGTAAGCATTTTCCAATCGTTGATAGCATCAGGAAAGGGCCATGTTTCTTAGCGTCACTATATACATTTCATATTTACTGAAATCATATACCTTATCTTATTTATACTTACACATGTTGAATGCAAATTAATTAAAAAAGTGATTAAGGAGATTGGATGGAAAAATTTGTGTTTGGAATCGAATTAAAAAGGTGAGAAAAAAGTACAAATAATTAGATCCATTTATTCTAGTAGCTAGACAGAAGACATAAATATTAATATCTATAACTTTATTTAATGAGCACAACATTATTTTTCCTTCGTGCTCAGTATATGGTATGGAGTAATGTGCAAACAGTGGGTCTACTCCGGGACCAATAAATGAAGTGCATCAAATGTTCCAACGATGCATTTTTGTTGTTTTAGGGTTGCTCATTTATTTATTTTGGATTCTCATTATTATGATTTAGAAGGCATATTTTCATGATTGAAAAAAAAAATAAAAAAGTATATCAAACAAGTAAAATTCCGAAAACTTGCCAAGTTTTTTTTTTTTTTTTTTTTTTTTTTTTAAATTGTCACTCTATAGAAATAGTCCGCAGATGGGACCACTGTTTTCAACGTTCAGTTTAGTTTTTGGAGTAGAACTCGGGTTATAACGTTCCTGTCTTCTTATTTCTTGACAATCAAATTATAAATAAATAAATATGTAAAAGATAGCGGGACAAATTAAAAGTCCATTCCTATATGTCATTTATTGATAGAATGCCGTTATATGTGTAACAATTTAATCACTATTCACTAGTCTTGTGCTGTCCATGTAAAATCTTTCTTTTTTTTTTTGTGGGGAAGTTGCAAAATTACAAGATTGAATACCTTATGTTAAAAACTTTATAATTAATTTGAAATAAATACTGATCAATCAAATTTTCGATAGTTCCACTTAAAAAAAAACTACAATTACTAATATTACTAATATTACTAATTTCTAGCTAAGATTTAAAAAATGAGTGTTCTTGAATATTTTGATATTAGCAATGTCGATAAGCTTGAGTTGAATTAGAATTTAGTGGTACTCTTTAGTCCTTGGTTTGTAC